TATATATGTATATATATATATGCATTTATTTGTTGAACCATCTCACAATAAAATTATAGACATGATACTTTATCCCAAAATATTTGTTTAATGATACCTTCCTACATAATAATAATACTGGTATCACAACAACAACTGAACAACTCACAAATATCATCTAAAGTCCAGTGCATGTTAAAATTTCCCCAATTACCTTGAAGTTGCCTTTTATAGCTGGTTTGTTCAAAGTAGGATTCAATTAACGATCATTTGGTTGGGTCTCTTTAGTCTCTCTCAATCTAGAATAGCTCCTCACCTTCTCAATACCTCCTTTTCCTGTCTTTGACATGGAAAGACCTTCCAGTTGTCTAGAGAATACCCATCAAAGACTGTTTCTTTGTCCTTTACTGTATCCCCTGAAAACTGGAAGTTAAATCTAAAACTTTGGAACTATAAAATAATACTCTCTGCCGTCGAGTCGGTTCTGACTCATAGTGACCCCTCCTTGGGTTTCTGAGGCAATATCTCTATGGAAGTAGATTGCCCAACCTTCCGTCTGAGGAGTGGCTGGTGGGTTTGAACCTCCAGCCTTCTGGTTAGCAGTCAAACGCCTTAGTCACTATGCCACCAGAGCTCCCAGGTTAAACATTTTGGGCAAGAATATTTCATAGGTGATGCTGTGTATATTTCATACTGAATTAATGGTAATTTTAAATTTGATCACTGTGTTAAGATGTTTTCCTCTTTGCCCCAAGCAAGAAATCTGTGGGATACTTCAGCACCATGTGAATATCAGTTCTTATCAATCTTTTACTTATGGCTGTTAGCATCCATTGATTTTCCTTGCCAGAAGTGATTATTTCAATTCTGACTCATAGGGACCCTTTAGGACAGAGCAAAACTGTCCCATAGGGTTTCCAGGGCTGTAAATATTCATGGAAGCTGACTGCCTCATCTTTCTCCTGTGGAAAGGCTGGTGGGTTCGAACTGCTGACGTTTTGGTTAGCAGCTGAATGCTTTAACCACTATGCCACCAGAGCTCCTACATTAGGGATTACAGAATGGTGATTTTTCTAATTCTTTCTTTTGAGAGGATGTTCTAAGTTTTAGAATGGTGGCACTTGGGAGGATACACACTGCTTGAACTGTGTTTTCACTTTGGTGAAACAGAAAGCTTTTGAGATTTTGCAAATTATTGATGGTTTCTTAAATGGGGGTGGGGGTGGGGGTGGGGATGGGGGTATGAATTAGTGAAGGGAAGGCAAGCTTGCTAAAGAGATCCACTATGGCATACACTGGAGGCTACAACTGACCCCTGTCCTGCAGCTCAAATTCCAGAGTAATCCATAGGAGAAACTGGGATTTCAGAGGGATATAGAAACAAAGTGAGTATTGATGTGTTGATATAAGTAGTAGGAGAATTGCACAGATACTTATGTTCCCAATGGTCTTCCCTTCTTAGAAAAAGCAGACCATATCAGCTATTGGTTTTATAATTGAATATGGATCATATGAGTCTGCCACCCCTGGGGTAAGAAGTACTATGTCTTTATAACCAATCCTTTTGATGAGGAATAAGGACTGGGACAAGAAAAAGATTCCTCATAGATCTTGACGGATATAAATACATACATTAGTATCAAAGGGCAATTTAAGTTTTAATTCATGTTTTGGAACAATGAAGTCAGGGACAGACAAAATAGGGCTGTAATATTTATAGTGCTGGTGCACTCCTGCTCAGTTAACATGTGGGCACAAGTTCACAATCAGTAGCATCATGTTCTGTCTGCCAAGCAAGAGGAGACTCTTCATGTGACATCACTGTTTCGCAATGAGCCGAGGGGCACACATTTAACTCACAGAGAAGTGCAGTGCTGAGTACCAGATGGACCAAATCCTACAATCAACTCACTATCAGTCAGGGCATTGCAAAGTGGTGTCCAGTTCTTGAATATTTAAATGTCATGATTCTAGGGAATGGGGATGTAAGTGACCTAAATAAGCTGCTAGGACACACACATTTCCCACCCTTCCAGACACGTGAATCAACAAATCTCTTTCAGGCTGCTAACTGGGGGTCAAAACAGTGAGCATTGCTACGCCTAAAACTCAGGCTTGATATGGGGGAAAAAAATTCAGAACAGAGTGATAGACAAGAAAGCTCCTAGCATACAGCATTTTTCCCCAACATTCAAGAGTACTTACAAATCAGAAGAGGACTTCTCACGGGTCTTTGAACTACCTAATACAGCTCAAATAAATCACGTAAAACCATTAAGAGCACATGGCAAGGCAGATGTAAATCTCAACTAATCCCAATGGAATTCTATATATCCCTGATGAGATTGTGGATTCATCCTTGGATGGGAGAGTGACCCAGTCAAGACCTGACATGCTCTTTATCATCAAGGCTGACGTGGACTCATCTACAACTGCCCAACATTTCTGAAGAATATAAGCCCTTCTGCCAATGTGACCCTCCTTCTCAACAATCACTAAAGATGAAATATTTAAGATAAAACCAGTCAGCCTTCACTCTAACTTTTGAAGAGCTCATTGTGATTATCAGTCCCCAAAAGGATAAAATGAGATCTGAAACACAGCCAAAGGGACCCTCAAGCAGAGGAATGACCCACACAGATCTCATACAGTTGCTTAATAAATGGCTGTCTTAAAGAAACACAGTGATATTTTAACATACCACTACAGTATGATCCTCAGAAAAGTGAGGAAACTGACTATACCAGCTATCATGGCATTGCTTCCTTCCTTGTTTTAAGAGTGGTCCTGGTCTAAACAGCCCTGAGCTCTCCTGGAGTCAGGGAATTAAAGCCCCAGGCAATATAATTTTTGGGGACCAAGTGAAACACAAACCAGCCCCTAGCTTTAAGGCACAAAGCCTCCTTTTTCAGTCAAGGTAATAAATATCCTGTAGCTGCCTCTACTGCTCCCCTCTGCCAAGCATCCTGGAGGTGATAGTGGCAGCAAGGAAAGTGGAGTCACTCCTTGAAGTCTGTGGTGAGGATGGTTGTACTTCTGAAGGGCAGAGGAAGAGGGAAGGGGGCGAGTGCATGAGTGGAGGGTGACAAGGTCTGCAGCACCAGGAGGCGACAGGCAGAGCACAGCACACTGCAGGCAGCCCCTGGGCGCGTCCCTGAAACACACCCCCATGCTTCAGTTGTTTTTACCCTCAGCTTGGGAAACTATAAAATGACAGTAGTTGTGAACAAGGCACAGGCTTTCCTCTGTACCTCTTTTTTCCTGCCTCCCCCATTCTTTTCTCACAGTCTCACTACTATTTTCACTCTACTAGTCCATTCTCCCACCACACCCTGTGAGCACATAAATATATATGCATGTCACATGATGAAAAATATCTGACAACACAAATACAGATAACATATTTATCACCTTCCAACATTTACTTAATGGTGCTCTATTTAATCAAAAGGAAGAACTTGTCTTCAAATCCCTCAATGTCCATGAGAAGAGGACATGTTCAACTTACCCAGGGGATTGGCACCAATAAATACATTTGCAAAATTCATCTTCGGCATCTGGGTCAAAGACTGAATGTAGTTTCTTGCCTGTAAAAACAAAAAATTTTCAGGATGGCTTTGTTCAGTTATATTACTACCCTCAAAGATTCTTGGTCCTTTTGAAGAAAAAGTGTTAACTGACAAAGCTGACCAGTTCCAATGTTTTTGACTGTCTTGGACAGTCTTCAAAGCCTTTCCTCTTATTGCCATTCTAATTTCTTTATTTGCAATCATCACCTATATTTATTCCTGCTATCTCTCACAGTTTATATTTCAAGTGAACAGGTAGGCTAACAAATGTAGTTCTCTTCCATTAGCCTTTTGATCATAGGATTAAAAGCTTAAAATATGAGGCTGAGATATATAAGAAGTAACTCTTTCTCAGTAGCCTCCCTGAACAGTTACAATTGGCATAAGGGTTGATATTCTTAAATACAGTCTAGGACCAGCAGTCTGTTGATGGTGCTAATCTCAGTTGGTAGTTAGTACATTAACAGGATATCAGTATTGAGCTTTGCTAATAAGAAAGTAACCTTGGTAACAAGAAAGTCAACATAAACTTGTAACATATTATTTATAGATTCAAACACATACCAAAAATTAAGAACAGTCTAATAAGGGTAATAAGTTGCCCTTAAAAGGGGATTGTAAATGACATGGCCTAGGTAGACGTGCTTCTCCTACCACTTAGAAGCTACATCTTCTTGGGAAATTCTCAACTGACATATCAGCTACCTCATCAGTAAAATGTTAGTATTTGGTTTGCCCATATCACAAGGTTATTGTGATTCTCAAGCAAGATAAGAAACCTATGAAAGTACTTTGGAAACTAAAGAACTGACACAAACATTTATATCCCCATCCTGGTTATAATAAGTTTGCACTCTAGAGTGGGGCAGGCTTGGGTCTGAATCTTGACTTTATCACTTTGGGCAAGTTATTTATTATTTATTCTTTTGAGTTCCTTCTCTGTAAGACAGGATTAATATCAGTGTTTACCTCACAATGTTAGACTGAAGACCAAAGCTAACAAACCAAGAACTTCCTTAGCATAGTACTCATCACAATGAGAGCTCAATAAACATTAGCTGCTATCACTGAAAGAAAAGTCGTCCACTTTCATTTTCCAAGATGTTTCAACTTGACAATTTCTCAACTTCATTCTAAAGAGCATAAGGTGTCAAATACTTTCAAAGATTGATACAGCTCTCATCAAGGCAAAAAGCCTGTCCTAGCCATCTCCTTAAAAGTCCTGTTCAAATATAACACAACAGTAAAGGTCTGTATGATCATTACCTTGATCTTATCTTTATCTTATGATCATTACCTTTATTTATTCCTGCTATCTTTCACACATGGTTAGAAAAAGTTCTGGCAACGTTACCTTCTTATGCATTATATGTGGAGCAAGTGGGAGAGGTCCACTTTAAAATGCAAATATTTCAGATTTGAGAAGAAAGTTCTAGGAATTTAATATGTACATGATGTAATCCCTTTCCATTGAGCACACAGATAAAAGGATGAAGGGAAAACAGGTGGGAGAGACTTGTCTCATTCAGAGAGCTGTCACTCCTTGAATAAAGATGAAAGAAAAAGACTACCTGAATATAGCTGAAGTAGGAAAAAAGGTGCTGGGAATGGCCCCTGTGTTGCCAACCTGGTATGAAGTCCCAATTAAGATTAAAAATGACTTAGAAAAGAGTACCCCAAACATCTCTGGTGATAAAACGAGAGTTAAAGTACTTAAGAAATGGTAAAGAAGGCACTTGTTGTTGTTACTGTTATTTGCCGTCGAGTCGGACCAGACCATAGCAACCCGTCCTTGGGTTTCCGAGGCAGTATCACTACGGAAGTAGTTTGCCCAACCTTCCTTCCGAGGAATGGCTCGTGGGTTTGAACCACCAGCCTTAAGGGTTAGCAGTCAAGTGCCTTAGGCACTATGCTAGCCCTACTTAATTAAGTGTTCATATTTATTCTTTATTTGCCTGTTTTCATTTCAATATGGTACTTACTAGTGTTGGCAATTTCATAGGTCTTTTTTATTTAACAAAGAATCCTATTTTGGTCATTAAAAAAAATGCCTGAATAGAAAAGCAAGCTAATAGCTTTCAGCTAACTAACTGCCTTCAGTTCATCAGATAGTTGCGTAATTCTAACTGCAGGCGTGTACCTAGGAAAAAATAAACAACTTCTTGAGCACTGAATTTATAAAACCCAAATATGAAAGTAATACCATTTTCTATTTACAGCCTCAAAGTTATACTCTCAATCCACAGGATTGGATGACATTTTATCCCAAATGTCAACATCTTGCAATAACACATAGGCAGGCATTGCCTTAGTATCCCTCAAGGCACATGCAAGCATTCAGTGACATTAAACACTGTGTCATTTATACAGTGGCAGTAAAATGTGAACGTGGCCTTCTGATTTAGACACTCCTGTACAGTCTACTTGGTCTCACCTCATGGCTTGGCATCCTGTTAATGAGATAAGCAGGGGGTGTCCCCGTCAGACGCATAATCTGCTGAAGCTGGTTAATATCTTAGATGCCTAGTCAAGGGCATTGTTAAACATACAGTGCAAAAAATAACTTTCAACTGAAGTTTTTAAAAATGCCAAAAGCCACGCCAAAACAAACAACCAAAAAAACCCCGTACTCCCCCACGCACCCTATGCACTCCTGGCCAGAGCCCAAGGCTGCATGTTAAAGTAATGCTTCCGTAAATGGCATGAGAGTTTTCAGGTATGTAGCCAATGACTGGCCATGTAGATAAGGAAAATGAATTTCCTTTAGTTTTAGCAGCACAGTTTAGCACAACATTAAATACTTTAGACTCCTTGGAAATAGACTGTCCCATGATTCAGGATGCCAGCCAGAAAACTATTTGTTAAGTACCAATGGCCAAAACATTGAATGTGGGATAAATATCGGTGATAAGAAAATTGTGACTCAATGTTGGCACAAAAAAATAATATCCAATATATCCATTCAAGGAAGGAACTAATGTTTGTGGCACAGGTTCTGGTGATTCTCCAAGGTCCCTCTCATCTAAATGCAAGACACAGGTGGGCGTGTGGGTGGATGAGCAATGCCAAGTCTCCAAGACATGAGCAACAGACATTTAAAATACATGCCACAGACACGCAATGCTAAGTGGAGAGGGGATGTGGGGAAAGTTAAGAGTCCAATGGCAAAGACAAAACAGAAGTCTTGGGCTGCTGACAGTATTACAGCATGCCACAATGATTTTTCCCAGAAATCTCTTTAATAGGTGAATAAACTGATTTCACCTAACAAATACCTGGGTGGAAGTCTGCAAAAACATTTGGTGAATCTGAAAAGAGCAGAACTATGAGGTCCCCCACACATGCAAATACGTATGTAAATATTCCGAACTTTTCTCTTTTACCTGTCTATCAGTGTTAATACAATACCCCCTCCACAAATATGTAAGTGTTAGTTTATCATGTGTTCCCGCTAAAAGCAGAAGGGATAAGATTTTTAAAACACTTCTTGAAAACATTACCATAAACCCCTTATCTATTCCCTTTGTTGTTAACTATTAGTTCAGTTCCTTCCTTTAGTTGTCCAATTATTTTCGACAAGCTCTGGTGTTAAGTAATTTCACTCCTTTGTGGTTTCCCTAAATAATCTTTCTATGTTTGCTCATTTTCTGAACTCAAACTTCCTAATGGTTAGATGACTGCTAACGGACCTTTAAGGCTGGCCATTATGAACTAGCTGGGGCCAAGTACATTACCTGGTCTTTCATGCTCCCTAAGCCCAAAGTGAGAAGGGCAGGAAGTTCTTTTAACATTCTCACAACAAAGTTTAGATTTACATTTAAACAAATTACATGACAAACAGTACTTTGCATGCCAAGAGAAATAACAAAAGGGGCCCCTAAGTGAAAAACAAGGGCAGAAATGTCAAAATCCTCTCCTTTCTCCCTTCCTTTCTGTGAACAATAGTTGGCCTGTATATTTTCTGTTTTTGTCTCCTTTAATCAAATAGGTCATTATAGCCATCTTTTTAAATTTTATTTTATTACTGTGCTTTGGGTGTAAATTTACAGAGCAAATTTGTTTCACATCCAACAATTCGTGTACATTTGATTTCATGCCCCATTACCATCCCGACCATAACAAGCTTTCCTCCCCTCTTGCCCCTGTGATCACCCCCACCCTGTGCCTTTCTTAACTATGCATTTCTGTCTGTCCAGCTTTACCTCCAGTGTCTCATGACTGATTGCTCTAAGTGGGTGTATCTCCCTAGAGTAGGTGAATGCATCACCCTAGGGTAGGTGTTCTGCGTGTAGGTCTTTCTACTGTTGGACTGAGAGCCAATCCACAGGCGTGAGTCCAATTCTAGGCCCAAAGGGTAACCCGGGGCCATAATCTTGGGGGTTCCACCAGACTCTCTCCGACCAGTAATTCTAGTCATTTTTGGGTTTTTGAATTTTGTTCCACATTTTTCCTCCCACTCTACTCAGGATCTCCAGTTTTGATCCCTTTCCGAGTGACTGGCATTGGTAGCCAGGCCCATCTAAGGAGCTCTGGTGGTGCAGTGCCTAAGGCATTTGACTGGTAATCAGATAGCTGGCAGTTCAAACCCACCAGCTGCTTTGCAGAAGGAAGATGGGGCAATCTATTTCCATAAAGGTTTGCCACCTTGGAAACCCAATGGGGGTCACTATGAGTCAGAATCACCTTGATGGCCGTGAGTTAGGTTTTTGATTTTGTCAGGAGGTTAGGAAGAGTATATTTCTAGAGAAAAATGTGAGAGGAGTCAGTGAAAGGGCTTATGCTTTCTTAATATGATGTTTTCATTTTTCACTGATACTATAGTTAAGTAACTCTGTCCATAGCCATCCATCATGACTCGTATCTCCTTTCCTAGGCATATACAGGAGTCCTGGTGGTGCAGTTGTTAAGCACTTGTCTACAAATGACAATGTCGGCAGTTCGAACCCACCAGCCACTTCGTGGCAGAAAGATGTGGCAGTTCTACTCTGTCCTACAGGGTGACTATGAGTCAGAATTGCCTGGACCACAGTGGGTTTATGGTACATCCTAACCTACTCTTAGTCAATGCATCTATTATCACCTTCTCTTACTCAGAATTTCCTATTTATTGACTGAAGTTCTACATAAATGGCATCACTACTTCATTACTTGTCAGGAATAATGAAAATAGCTATTGGCTTTCTCTTTTTACTACAGTCCCCACTAATATTTTTTTAAAAAAAATCTTTCAACAATTTCACTCATCTGGCTTTGTTATGTGTCACACATTATGTGCTTCTATTTAAGACAAACGGATACTTTGGGCAGTGTCACTAATGCTGTCCTGAGTCAGAATCGACTTGATGGCAATGGGCTTGGTTTTTGCTTTTGTCCACTTGGCACAAGTACATAGGAAATAACACTTTCCTAACTGTACCTACGTTCAACACAGTATTATATTCTGGTACTCAATCTCAAATGCCCAACTCTATACCATCAAGACACATACAGCATAGCTGTCAAGTGGTATGATGCACCCCATTTCATATAAGCTAAAGCTATACCATTATTACACTGTGCACCCAGTGTTATTTTTTTTCTTAAAAATAAATGATGGATTAATAATGGATAAATACTATTTTGCCTATACTTTTTCTTCTACAACTTCTTGTGACTAACAGCATTTATTTACAGGATAGATGATTAGAGGGTGGGAGAGGCAACTGAGAAAGAGCTGCTGCTGGTTATTCCTGGACAGAGAAAGAATTTGCTATCTCAGTCTCATTAGCACTATTCATTAATTAACTTAGCTCCTGCAAAAGCCCCCATCCTTGCCCCAATACCTTCTCTACTAGCCAATCTTTCTAAGCAAAATGCATTAAAAAACAAAAACAAAAACAAAAAAACACTGTCCTCTCTAAGCATCACCCCCCATTTTCTTTGATTCACTCCAGTCCAGCTTCTGCATTTCATAAAGCAAAAGAAAATACTCTTTCAGGTTGACATCATAGTCAATAACTCTGGCAATGACTTTCAAAGTAGTATGCAGTCTTCTGAGATTATGGTGTAGACCATGCTATCAGAACATCTGGGATCTATACTCAAGCCTGCCAAGTGACTCAGTACATGACTTGGGCAAGCCACAGCCTTTCTGTGCTTTTGCTTCCTCATCTTAAGTAAAGAAATGAAACAACATTAAAGAGGGCTAGCACATCCCTCAGAGTAGAAATTCAGAAATATATTGTGCCATGTTTTTTTTTTTTTTTTTAAAAGGAGTGTACCAAATACATACCAGATGATGGTATTCTTTACTTTGCCAAGGAGACGATGAACAGTTCAAACTCACCTGCTCATGCCTGCCTGAAGCTACCCAGCAGTCTTTCCATTGGTCAAAGGGGCCCCTTCAGCCTGAATGTTGGGAGGAGAATCCAGGAAGGCACAACTGGAGCTTGGCTCACCAGTTCCTTTTCCCTTTTATCCAAGTGCATGGTGGCAGCCATGGGTTGTGGCAAGAATAGAGGGAAAAAGGGAGAAAGACTGGGCTTTCATGGCTTCTCTCACGTCTCTGGCCCGAGAAAACGACCAAAAGCAGGAAATTGTAGCCAAAATAAGCAGGGTCACATTTCCATAGCTTCTATTTAAATCCCTGCTGAGAAGCAGGAAACACTAGCTCCAAAGCCTTTTCTCAGTTTATTCAATGGGTATTTTACAAAGGCAGGCCTGTGAGAGGAAGGATTTACAACCCTACTCCCATGGTTCTGAGGTGTCAGGATTGGGGGTGTTTTCTCTGAGTGGTCTAAGGACTGAGTAGAGAGGTATCCCTTTGGAAGTCCCATATATCTGTTGGGAATAGACACCTTACACGGGATGTGTGAGTTGTCTTCTAAAATAAATAAATAAATAACGTATGGAAAGGGCAAGAGTGTACAGGCAATGCACATTCTAGTGATGAAGCTAGACTAAGACATGGTAAAGCTCATGCTCTGAGAAGAAACGCTTCCCACAAAGTGAAAGCATTGTTGAGTACACGGGAGACTTCTGAGAAAGATGAAGTTAGGGTTTGAGAACAAAGAACCAAATTTTTCATTAGTCTCTGATCTCAAATCTTAATGTTTTACTGGGGTACTGTTGCCCATTAGAGGCTCCCATAATCTAATACATACCCACATAGAAGGAGAGACAGAGTATACTTGCACACACATTCACACACACATTCATACCTCATCCCAGGAGTCAGTACACAATAGGCACATGTGTTTACAAACACACTCAAGTCAAGTACAGAGTGATGGAAGGCATGTGGCAGAAGTAAAGAGGAACTTAGGTTCCCAACAGGGCAGATAATTACAATCAAAGCATCAACTCACAGACTCTGAGGAGATTTTCTTCAAAAGCTCAGCCCCTGGGGTTCCAACGAGTCTTAAAATGAGCTTCAACTGATCAATATCTAATGGTGGACTATAAAGGAAAATGTTGGGACAAAATAAAAATGAAAAAACAAATAAAACAAACAACAAATAAAACAAAACAAATAA